GGGTTTCTGGGTTCAAGACCACGTTGATCTACACAGAGAGTTCCAGGATAGCCAGGACAACCATGCCTCATAAGTGAAAATAATTTTAAAAAATCGTATGTACTGAAAAATGCATTTTCATGCTTACAGAAACATCAACGTTTGCAATGTAGGGAGAGATATATCAATAGTTTTCTAAAATATACAGAATATATGATTTTGAAAGATTAAGTAATATTTTTTTTTCATGACTCACTCTGAAGAATTTTGATTTTAGCAAAGAGAAGAGAATGTAGTGAAGACGGTGCTCACCCTTAACTCTGGCACCCCAGAGAGTGAGGCAGGTGGATAGAGTTAGGGGGCAGCCTGAACTATAAAGTCAAACATTGTCTTGGTGTTTCTAATTTTCTTTTACAGAGGTGCTAGGATGGGGCGAGGAGAAGATACCAGAACAACTAGATAGTGACAAGTAAGATTTCAATCCATCCCTTAAGGGACTAAAGCCCTCTTCTAGCCTCTGAAGGTACCTACACATACACTTACACACTGGACGAACAAGACCAGACCAGACAACCTGTGCTTAGAAGAAGTTCTGTGTGTGCAGAACTTGCAAACCAACTCGTTACAAAGAGTAAGAGCTCAGGACACTCTGTCCTGAATGACTCAAACCTTTATCTTCAGTTGGCCGAGTTAGCTATGACAGGATCAATGAAGTCACAGATCACAAGACTGATGAGGGACTTCAACCTCTTGGGCAAACACCATTCATACCATAAGCAAACAAATACAGCTCTCTAAAACAAATATTAGTTTCCATAAACCAAATGATTTCCTGGGTCACCAATACCCAGAACATAGTTAATGAAACTCGCTGCTAATCCGTATGCCCAGAATACACAATTTGAACATCAGGAGGGAGCCGCTCTCCCAGCCCTGGTGGAGTTCAGTAAAGTAAGTAACTAAATAAGGGTCACGCCTTCCTCGTCCTGCTCCCGCAGCTCCTAGCGGTGACTCTCCCAGCCGCTGCCTGCTCAGAACCAAAGTCCCAGCACTTTCAGTTTCCCTTTGGAATCCTTTGCCTAATGAGGTTTTAGCTTGAATTTAATCCAAGCTGAACTCAAGTGCCCATGATTTAAAATTCCTTTGCTTTTATTTGCTGCGAATTAATTAAGCTGTTGTTTGTGTGTGCGTTTTTTTTTCTTTTTTAAACCGAAGGTCAGTCTTCATATGGATTATATATGTGTATGTGTGTGTGTAGTATGTATGTATGTATGTATGTATGTGCGTGCTTCCTGTGAGGCAAAGTCTCATCCTGAGACTGGAGCTTGATTTTTGACAAGGTTGGGGGCCAGCAAGCCACTATGACTCAGTTGTTTCTATCCTCCAGAGTTCTTGGTTTTTGGGTACCTACAAGACCATTCCTAGCCTGCTAAGTCAGTGCTGGAGTCTGAACTCAAGTCATGTTCGTAGTAAGCAGTCTCGACCACTTAGCTGTCTCTCTAGCTCCTGATACTTTTTGAGACAAAGTCTTGCCTGACACAGCCCAGGCTGACCTTGAGTTTGTGGTGATCCTCCTGCCTCAACCACTGGAATGAATGCTGGGATTACGTGTGTAATATCCAGCCATCCCAGCGAAATTACAAAAAAAAAAAAATCTTTAAAATATTTTAACTTAAAAAACTCTTTTTCAGTGTGTTTAAAAAATAAAGCAAGGCACAGTAAAGGTTAATTTATTACCATTTATTTGTGCAAACAATGCTTTATGTATTGGAGGACTCCAAACCAGCAATAGATCTTTGCTCCAACACAGGAAAGTAAAGGACAGAGATAAAGTGAAGATAACATTCAGCTGGTGGCAATTGTGCAGTTGGCTTGATTAGAAAGTCGAGTTGTGTGGCTGTAGGTATTTAATTCTTAAAAAGACCGGTACTTACTTAGCTAAAGTTAAATTTAGCTGGTTTTATTTGCTTGGACATTCTTGAAGGCCTGCTGTTTTTATTTAGTTAACTGTATTTGCTATTACCACTATTATTTTATTTTATTTTATTTTATTCCTGTCTTGTACATCAAACTCAGGGCCTTGGGCATGCTAGAAAAAAATGTTCTACCAGTGAGCTGTATTTCAGCCCTGAAGTCTTCCTGTTAAGATTTTTTTGTTATGTGTATGATGTATATATTTGCATGTGTGTGTGTGCATGTTCCATGACACTTATGGAAGACAAAGGGTAACTCCTGGGATCAGCCCTTCTGTTCTACGTTGTTTATTACTGTTTCTGGCTGTGGATGTTGGTCTGCCTGGCCTGGGGGTTCTGGGATCCTGCAATCTCTGCCGTCCATCCTGCTGTATGAGCACTGAGATTACAGATGTGTGCTTCCATGCCTGGCTTTCATCTGGTTTCTGAGGATTGAAAAGCGACAAATGTTTCATATTTAACCCTTGAGCCACCACCCCAATGTAGCACGATTAATAAAAACCCAGAGACAGATACTGGGGTTCAACCTGAAGATCAGAAAAGCAACCCAGCCAGCCACTGTCATTACCTCTATCTCAGTCCAAAATGGCGATCCTGCCTCCAGGAATCTCAGAATGAGACTGTGTGTGAGAGCTGTCTTCTTCTGTTTTATATTCCTCTCTAGGGCTGGGTTTAAAGGCGAGCACCACTACCGCCTCTGTTTCTATGACAACTAGTGTGGCTATTGGGAATAAAGATGTGTTTCTGTAAGATTGACCAGGGTGGCTGTTTTACTCTCTGATCTTCAGGCAAGCTTTATTTATTAAAGTACAAATGAAATATCACTATATTACAACCCATAAGATTTTCTTTTAAAAATTTTAAAAGATTTTGCCAGGCAGTGGTGGTGCAACCTTTAATCCCAGCACTCGAGAAGCAGAAGCAGGCAGATCTCTGTGAGTTTGAGGCCAACCTGGCCTATGGAGATAGTTCCAGGACAGTCAGGGATACACAGAGAAACTCTTTCTCGGAAAAAAAAAATTAAAGATTTTTCTTTGTTTACACTGTGATCCACACCCAGGTCCCCAGCAAAATCAACAAGTGATTTAATTGCTGAGTTTTAAATTACTATCTCCAGGCCAAAAGATTTATTTATTTATTTATTTATTTATTTATTAAAGATTTCTGTCTCTTCCCCGCCACCGCCTCCCATTTCCCTCCCCCTCCCCCCATCAAGTCCCCCTCCCTCGTCAGCCCAAAGAGCAATCAGGGTTCCCTGCCCTGCGGGAAGTCCAAGGACCACCCACCTCCACCCAGGTCTACTAAGGTGAGCATCCAAACTGCCTAGGCTCCCACAAAGCCAGTACATGCAGTAGGATCAAATAAAAGATTGTTTTTTTTTTAAAGAAGGGCCTTATAGCTGTGGTTGGCCTAAGAGTTGCTCTGTTGACCAGGCTGGTCTAGTGCTCACAGAGATCTGCCTGATTCTATGTCCTGAGTACTGGGATTAAAGGTTCACGCCACTATTCCTGGCTCCTCCATCCTCTTTTGAAACTATTTATGTTCTGAGAGTGGGCCGTGTTTGTGTGCAGCTTTCAGGGATTGGTTCTTTTTTCCACCTTGCTGAGATGGGTCGTGCATTTTCTTTTTCTACATGGACTCTGGGATTGAACTTGAGTTGTCAGGCTTGCATGGCTAAGGTAAAGGTGATCTATCACACTGGTCCAGGTCTCTAATTTACTTTTATAAGTATCTGTCAAGAGGATAAAAATAATGTGTTCAAGTAGAAACTATTAGTCCACATTCCTTACTTGGCTATTATGTTGGACAACTCAGATGAATTACCTGAATTTCTAAAAGCAGAAATAGAAAGTGAGTTATCTAAATTATGTTGTGTTTATGAGAAACCAGATCACTGGTTTTTGGAAACATTCATGTAGCATTCAAGCCTGTTACTTGAGATACAGATTGAAGGATTTGGTTCTCAGAACCAGCACTGCATTGTATCTGACGTGGGATGTCTTTCAGTGTATACGTTGCTTTTATTGGTTGATGAATAAAGCTGTTTTGGTCAATGGCTTAGCAAAGTAAAGCCAGGCAGGAAATCCGAACAGAAATATAAAGAGAATAGGCAGAGTCAAGGAGACGCTATGTAGCTGACAAAGGAGAAACATGCCAGAACATTACCAGTAAGCCACAGTATCATGACGATGCATAGATTAATAGATACGTGTTAGTTTAAGATGTATGAGATAGCTAGGAATATGCCTGAGTCATTGGCCAAACAGTGTTGTAATTAATATAATTTCTGTGTGATTATTCGGGTCTGGGTGGCTGGGAAAAAGAAACACAGTCTCCAACTACATGTGTCAACCCCAAACTTTCCTCTTGGCGTTCCTTACTGCTTACGCTTTCGTTGTCTGTTCCTATGTACAAGGGAAGGATAATCGCTTCCAGGAGAAAACCAAGATGCTGACAGGGGCTCCGACTCTGACCTCTGCAGCACCTCGCACTGCAATAGAGGTGACGCCGAGCTCTAAGTCATTTTGTGAGCAGGCTTGTCAGGGAAGTTTGGGGAGCTCTCACAGCTAAAGGCTGCCTGCTTCTCTTAGACGTTTCATATTCTCACACGAGTTCTCTGTAATCTTCCTGTATGCACATAATTTTCACATTTTCAGTTTAATCTGCAGTGGCTTCCACTGCATGCCTTCATGACTTACAGATTTGTCCCTGTTAGAGTTACTCTTTTGTTTCAGCAGAGTGTCCAGACTAGAATATTATTTCATGTCTAAAACAAGCACAGTGCACAACTGTAACAAATTCTGAAGTGAGTTTACTTCTGAATTTTTTATTATGTCCAGAGATTGTTTTTTTTTATTTTTTTTTCAGAGATTGTTTTTTAATACAAGGGAGAGAATTAAGCCTTTTTATTCCTTTTTTATTATTGTTTGTTTTTTGTTTTTTATTGTTGTTTGTTTTTAATTATAGATGGACGCCACCACAAAAGCCTAAAATGGAATTCTGAAAATTCTTCAGGTAACTGAAGGAGAAAGGAGGAAAGGAGAGATGCAGGAATAGAAGCAGAGGAGACAGCAACGGAAAATGTAAGTTTTCAGATGTAAATCCACAGTTTGCAATCATAGAGATTTTAATTTATCTTCTCCACTTACCCAAATACCTGTGCTTTAGGTTTTTACTTATTTCTGTTTTGATCAAATGCAGAGACGGCAGAGCAATGGACAACTAGAGCAGAGACATTGAGAGTCACTGCATTTGATTCCTCACATGCAGCATCATGCTGCATTGAAATTGTGTCTCTGTGTGTGGGTGTGTGTGTGCACACGTGTGTGCACGTGGAGTCCAGAGGTTGGAGTTGGATGTGTTTCTGCCTTCCCCCGTACTTTCTGAGGTAGTGAGTCCCACTAAACTTGCAGCTCACGTTGTCTAGACTGGCTCGCTAGCTACCCCAAGGCATATGCCTGTCTCCATGACTCCCATATCCCTCCTACGCTGGGGTCACTGTGTTTGCTGCCACACCTGCCTTTTAAGGTGGGCTTCGGGGATCAGATCTCAGGTCCTCATGCTTATGGGGGGGCCGCCTTACCAACTGAGCTGATGTTATCTCCCTATGATCTGCAGAGGGGTTTGATCTTTGTAATGCAGGTGTACTCTGCTCCTCCACCTCAGCTCTGATTTGAATACACATGTACAAACCATCTATCCTCCACTCAAGTTCCTCCCTGCTCTTATCTAGATTTTTCTTTGCAATACATTGCAAATATTCATCAAAGAGTCACTGTATTTTATTTATTTTTCTTCTTTTTTATTTTATTTATTTGTTTATTTATTCCTTTATTTTGAGATAGGGCTTCTTTGTGTAGACCTGATTGTCATGGAATGGACATGCAATGAGGCTGGCCTCGAACTCACAGAGATCCACCTACCTCTGCCTCCCGAGTTCTGGGCTTAAAGGTATGCGTCACCTCTGCCGGGCAAGTCACAAGTCACTGCATTTTAAAACCTCCTCTTGTGAGGGATGGTTGAACACTGAACACAAGGAATAGTGGTAATAATAGTAATAGTAATAGTAATAGTAATAAACCTGAATATAGTATCTTCTTGTTCAATAAGAATTAAAACGTTGAGAAAAAACATCTTTGGAAGGTGTCCCCACACGCTTGATGACGAGTGCACAGCAGCTATTTCCACAGCACAGGCTGAGTCACAGCCTCAGGACACCGACAGCCACCACCTGACATCAGCTGAGAGCTGCAGAAAGATGCCAGGTCACCTTGTTCCCAGAGACATTTTTTGTGTTGTCCCTGTCTTTCTCCTTCACTCTGTCCTTTGGTTTTCAATCATCCTTCCAGGAAGTGAAATATGCCACCTCCCCAGACCCTTACTTGTTCCGGTGCCTGAGCCTCTCTCTGTTCTAATTGTCTGTTGCTCTTCTGGCTCTTTTGGGATGTGTCCAAGATGGGGTGACATCTGAGACCCTGTTTTCAAGCCAATCACACCTCAGAATCCAGAGTCAGTAACTGACTGGGATGTCGGGAGTGGATGCTGGCAGCCTGCATTTTGAGCTGGCTTCCAGGTGATTTTGTTGCTGCCTGTCTGGACCATCCTTAGCAAGCCTACAGAATCTCTGTGCCAAAGGAAGAGAATGCTGAGGAGGGGACTAGGATGCACTCAAGGGCTTTTACCTCTTCCCTGTTCCTCTTAAGATTGTTTTAGAGACAGTCACATGGTACAGGAGGGGCTGACCTAGAATACACAGCATCTGTGTGACTGGCAAGACCTCTTATAATCCCATCCCTGATTCCCTTGGCTGAAGCTAAGGGCTTCATGAGGTCTGCCAAAGCTTAGATCTTGGAGACCACTGAGCCCACAGAGCAGAGCCTCCAGTAAGACCCAGGACTTGTTGGAGAAAGCCAACCTGAGGCCTGCCCAGGCTGAGCCGGACTCGCAGTCCCCCAGGTGGCTCTGGATGAGGCCTGAGGGGTGGCAATGCAGGCTGCTTTCTAGGCATCGCAGTCACTGTTTAAGAATGGATCTTCTCTAGGCCCTTATTTTACAATCAAGCAATGTAAATACCAGTGTTAAGTGACTTACTCATTAGCTAAACAGCTAATTAGTGGGCCGGCTTCTAGCTCAAGGCAAGCACATTCAGGTTCATCTTTCTCCATCACACACAAGCAGCAAACACCCGTAAGAAACGCTAACCACTGAAGCAACAGCAAGTTGTGTTTTCTTTTATTTGGACAGGCTGTTCAGTCCATATGAAATATGAATGCCCTTTCAGAGAAGGAAACAGTATTTTCTTTCTTCCTTTCCTTCCCTTTTCCCTTGTCTTCCCTTCCCCTTTCCTCTCTTCCCTTCTCTTCTGTCCTCCCTTACCGTCCTTTCTTCCCTGTCTCCCCTGGCCTCTCATCCCCTCTCCTTAGGTAGTTGTATCCTGGAGGTCTGACTGCTCTGGAACTCACCATATATGCCAGCCTGGTGATCCTTCTTGCCTCAGCCATCTGAGTGTCAAAATGACAGGCACAAACCACTAGGCTTGGCTGTTTGTTTAATGACAAGTATGAAGGCAAGTACATGCTCCAAAGTTATCACTGAAAACCAGTCTTATACTTCTCAATTATTAGTAAAAAATAATAATCTCAGTGGGATATGGGAGGCTGAAATGGGAGAATTGAAAGCTCGAAGCCAGCCTGAGCAGCTAAGAGAAGGACTGTCTCAAAATACAAGTGTCAACTGGGGAGATGGCTTATGAATTACGGGCTCTTGTGGCCAAGTCCCATGGCCCGAGTTTGATCCCATGGACCTGCACAGTAAATGAAGAGAACCCACTCCCACAAGTTGTCCCATGACCTTCACACATACTCATGTGTATACACACATACACATAGGAATCATGTGCCCCCTCCCCATAATTAAATAAATGTAATAAAAGTGTAAGTGAAAAGGAGTCGGGCTATGTAGAGCAGCTGCCTGGAGTAAGCAGTCTTTGGGTTCAATTCCTAGCACTGACAGCATTCATTCCTGTTCATGAACTCGTGCTGAAGGAGTTGGCTGTGATGCCTGGTAGAGCCATTCTGTTTCCTTAATCAGATACCAGAAATGAGCTGAACACAGAGAACAGCAAAACAAGGTATCAAGAAACCAAGGAAAACTGTTGGGTGTGGTGGCCCACACCTTTAATCCCAGCACTTGGGAGGCAGAGGCAAATGGATCTCTGTGAGTTTGAGGCCAGCCTGGTTTACAGAGCATGTTCCAGAACAGACCAGCCTGTTACAGAAAAACCCTGTCTTGAAAAACACACAAAAACATCACCACAGGCTCTATGATGTGACTACCTTTAATCTCACATCCTTCTCATGTATGTGGAGAGGAAGGAAGATAATAGAGATTTCTGTAAATTGATGGTGGTCTGGGAGAAACCAGGAACTTTCTTCCTTGCCTTTTCCCCCCTCCCTTAAAGAACTGTCCTCTAAAAATATCAGATTCTAGGGCAAGATGGCTCAGTGGGTACACCTGCATCAAGCCTGTGACCTAATTCAATCCCTGGGGCCCACATCTGTGAAAGGAGAGCGCTGAGTTTGCTGCCAAGTCGGCCTTTGACTTCTATATGAGTAGGATGAGGATGTGTGCGCAGGCACATGCACATGCAAGCATACACACACATACACACACACACGCACACACACACGCACAATGTAATAAAAGAAGATTATCACAGGAATGGAGTTAAAAGCACTGGGTCCTCTTCCAGAAGACTGACTGGGGTTCAATTCAAGTACCCACAGTGTGATACACACTGCCCATGATTCCACTTGTCCTCTGTTGGCACCATATACATGCTATGTATAGCTATATATGCAGGTGAAACACACATACACATACAAAACCCAAGGGACACCACACTTTCTTCTCACCTGCAAGGCAGTTATTATGCTTGGTTTTAAGGTCAACTGGCCACATTAGAATCACCCGAGTAGGAAACTTGCTGGAAGAACAGTCCTGATTGATGGAGAAGCCCCTCCCCAATTGTGGGTGGCACCTTCTGACAGGAGCCCAGACTTAAAAAGGCTGCTGAGCTGATGTGTGCCATCATTGCTGCTGATTGGTTTGCTTACAGACCAGCGTTTCTCCAGGGAATTCTGGAGTCCCAGCACAGGGAAAGGCAGACTAAGTGACCATGGGCAAGCACCCCTCAGTGACAGACAGCTATTTTGGAACCATTCCAACTTCTAACGACCCAGCCTCATGGCCAAATACTGGCTTCTCAACATCTCAGTTACTATTTAAAAACTTACTAAATTGTAATATCTCTGTATATTTTCATCCACTTAGTTCTGTCCCTCTGGAGGACCTTAGAAAACTAGCAGCGAATATACTGCCTGACCAAACAGGAGAAGAAAGGTTTTATGCCATTTAGAGGGGCACCCTCATTTTGTTTCAACTGTCTATGTAGCACTGTTGTCTTCTTGGACCTTCCCTTGCCCTGACAGCAAAAGCACTTTGTTTTTCAAGAGTAAAGGCTACAACGTTTCCGAAATGGTCAGACTTATTACAATGTTACCACTGAGAGCAGACTCCTCTGAGAACTAAAATCACCTGAGTATACATGAATACAAACATACCCCTTAACATACACACTTCTTTCAGCTCGCAGGAAAAGAAACAGACACAAGGACAATACAAGTAGCATGGAACTATATTGTCGAGGTTTATTTTGGGGTTAAGCCTATCAAACCTCTCAGGGTTCGGAGATTCACTATGGCAGGAGAAAACTTGCTAACTAGGTCTGAGGGAAACTACATTAGTTCACACAGTCTTTTAATCAGGCCTCGCTTATTCTTCCTGTGTCCTCTCCAAAGTTCTCTTCATGTCTCTTGCTCTTCTACCCACCCACACGTTTCCAGTTCATACAGTTAACAACCATGGAAACGGCTGAAACTGGCCAGGGGGAGCCTTGCAGCTTGGAGAGGACGTGGCTGTGAAGCTCCCCGGCAGATGTCAGGAGAATTAAGAATTCACACAAAGTTCTAAGAAGCTTTCGCGCACTAACTGACTTTTAAGGGAGACATCTATGATGAACAGTCATGGGGAACGCAGCAGCACCGCTGTGCTCTGAACATTTCGTTTCCATCCCCCGCAGAAGGGAACACAGCATTGGTAACCATAGCAACCCTAGGCTCTGGCTCCGGAGGAAGGCGAGGTGCTTGATTTGCATCAGCATGTAGCTGCCTGAATTAATAGGAATCTCTATGGAAACTGTTTCCATCTCCAGCAGGGTGCCTGCCAGCACCCAGGTGAGAATTAACGTCTCTGACGCTGCTTTGGTGACTCAAACCTATTTCCTGTATCTCTAGGGGTAAAGGCAGAAACAGTCAATTTCCTGGGCTATGATTTTAGGTTAATTGAAACCAAGGTGAAGGGTAAATACAGAATATTAATAGCTTGTTAGGTCAGAGCAAAAGGCCAGTAGATTACACCTTCCTGAATCAGCTGTTAGAGAATTGGGGGCACCCAGACCTGTTTATCAGTAGGCCATATTGTCTTTCAGCTCAGAGCCTCCTGCTTAGGGCTCCTTTGTCAGCGAGTCCTGTCAATAGTTGTGGAGGATTAGCTTTATGTAGATCTGACTAGGAGAACAAAGGTTTATCTGCGTGAATACTTTCGCACAGGGCTTCATGGTGTGGAAGGGTATACGGTTGCCAGTACAGAAGTCAGGCTTAATGAATGACGTATACACCGCTGGGGTATTCTGGAAGGGAGAAAGGACAGGATTTCACGCGATTTACACAGAACTGACAGCGACTATCCAGAAGACAGGCGTTCCTGAAGCTCTGCAATCGGCTTCTCCATCTGGAATGTATACGCACTCCCCGTGGATCTGTCTACTGGTCTTCAGCTGTACTTTTGCTATTCAGTCTTGTGGGCTCCAGCACTATATATTTAACAACTGTAGTAACTTCTGAGATGTTACTGGCAGTATACACACATATTGGGGTTAATTTCCATTTCACCATGAAGATGATCGAAAGACCAGACTAAGGTCTTCTCCCCCTCCCCCACTAAAGTATTTGGAATAGGGTCTTACACTGTAGTCCACGATAGCCTGAAGCTCATTGTGTGGCCCAAACTGTCCTTCAGCCCCTGAAATGCTGGGGTCATAGCTTTCTAGACACAGTAGGTCTCATAGATAAGAAATGTAACCATTTAATGTTTGGATAGGAAAAAATTATGACACCTGTGTTGTTAAGAAGGTAACAACAATGAAGGAATAAAAATCGTGTGTGTGTGGGGGGGAGGCTAGGAGCTGGCTGAACAGGCTAAAGTGCCTGCCAGGTTTTACACCCGAAGCCTGGGTTGGACGCTCTCACACACCCTGCTGGGTTCCGAAAGAAAATGGGCGCCATAGACAGTGGCACTACTAGGAGGTGTGGCCTTGTTGGAGGAAGTGTGCCACTGGGGGCAGGCTTTGGTCTCAGATGCTCTAGCTATACCCAGTGTGGCACTCTTTCTCCCTGCTAGATTCAGATGCAGAACTCTCAGCTCCTTCTTCGACACCACACCTGCCCAGATGAGGTAATGTACTAAACCCCTGATGACATGTTTTCTTTCTAAGAGCAGCTGTGGTCATGGCGTCTCCATCCCCACTACACCAATAAACGAAAAGAACTCTGAGCATAAAACACAGGGATTTTTAAAAAGCCATTTATTTAAAAAAACTGGTTTGTCAAATCACATCCACGAGCGGAAGAAACACAACTATTGAAATGGCCCTGTGATACAGACAGCAGTGGGGCATTCACACGGTACCTGAAAATACAGCTAAAAAAAGGGGTCACATGAGTATTGAGCTTCAGGTTCCTACCTGACCCCTTGGTGAATGGCTTTAATTAGCATACAGCGAGAGGTAGAGTCCCAAGTGTCTTAGCTGATGCCTCAGGGCTCCGTTTAAACAAAACAGAAATGAAAACCCCTTCCCCTCCTAGCTCCGAGCAGGGAGGCCTCGCTGCCTAACATTTATTTCCTTGGTAAAACAGAAGCCGAGTTTCCCTCCCCCAATGCTTCAGCAATCCCGTCCGCAAAGTGTGGAGTTAGGCAGTGTGCTTGAGACATTTAGTTTTCTTCACCTTCTGATTCGGATTCTAAGAGAGAAAGAAAGGGAATTTTTATTATCAGGCTCCCTTAAGTGAGGTTATGGATGAACTTCTAATGAGCAGCCAATGCTGTGGGCTGTAGTGATATTTTGTTGCAATCTAACTCAGAGAAGCAGAGTGGCCAGCTACTAGACAGACCTTTTAACTGGGCTGTCTCTAGGAATCTCCAGACTGCATCTGCTCTCCCGTCTCCTCCCACCTTACATCCCTTTCTGTCTCCTCCTCCCCAGTGCTGGGATTGAAGGTGTGTGCCACCACCTGTTCGTCTTTTAGACTGGGTCAATTTTGTGTAGCCCAGGGTGGCCTTGAACTCACAGAGGTCTGCCTGCCTCTGAGTGCTGGGATTAAAGGTGTGCGCCACCACCGCCCGGCTTCAGTGGAACTAATGACCCAGATCTCCACTCCGACCTTCAGGCAACCTTAATTGTTAGATTACAAACAAAATATCACTACAGTCGTCAGCCTGGGACATTTTTACCATGTATTCATTAGGCAAAGCCTAAGAGCAGATCAAACTTCCCAGTGAACTTTGGCCTTCTAACAATGCAAAGAGCCCACACTCATCACCGAGGAGCTTAACCTTTGATTCTAAGACAGGCTTTCACGCTGTGCTTCTGTCTCGAGCACGGCTCACTTGAAGGGGCTGAAACCCCACTAATCTCACCGTGTGTGGCTAAGCCCCACCATTTCATCCTTGCCATAGTCCACCAAGTGGATAAGCTGAGTTCCTTTTTTTTTTTTTAATTCTTTAAAAAATATGTATTACTTTGCCTTTAGATGTGGGCACATAAAGAATGTTAAGGAAAGCGAGGGGGAGGTGACCTGAAATACAGTGACCAAGCATCTGTCCAGTGACCCCCGGAGTTGTCAAATGAAGTCTACCTTCTTCTGCGTTTTGGAGCCACTCCACAAACTTCTTCATCTGGTCGAGAAAGACACTTTTGCCTTTGGCGGCGTGTGCTTCTTTATACCACTTGAGGATGGCTTCTTCGCTCAGAACGTCAGCTGCAGTCAGAAAGCAAGATTGCCAAGTTACAACAGGGATGGCATGCTTAAAAAAACTCAGTGTGGGGGCGGTTCTGGAGAGGTGGCAAGGGAGTTAGGAGCATTTTCTGGACATTCATGAGGACAAGGATTCAGATATCAGCATGGATCTGTGTCCAGAATATGCTTACAACGCTGGCTCCAAGGGTGTGTGTGTGTGTATGTGTACAGGAGGACTGCTGCCCAGCTCCAAGGGTCTGTGTGGGGGGACGGAATTGCTGCGGCTTGTTGAATCCTACAGTGCCAATGAGAAAACATGACCCTCTAGTTTGGGGTAAAACCTGACAGAGGACATTTGACTTCCTTCTCTCTCTCTCTCTCTCTCTCTCTCTCTCTCTCTCTCTCTCTCTCTCTCTGCTCATTTCTGAGTAGAACAGAATGTCCTCTTGGTGACAGTGATTGCAACCACATCCACAGGAGACAGTGCAAGCCACACAGGTCAGCACTGGGGCAAGGAAATCTTTTTAACAAATGGATCAGCAATTCCAATATTTTAGAAAACCATGCCCTTACAAGCTCTACCGCATCCTGCTTAAGGTGCAACCTCGTTTATGAGGCACAGACACCCGAGCCTAGGAGCTGGAAGCTGCTAGGAATAGCTCCGAATGCTAAACTCGTCAGCCCACACAGGGCCTGGTCTCATAAAACAAGGAACAACCAAATGGCTACTTGCTCTTCTAAAGCAGATTTCCCTTTTCTGTCTGTTAAGGAAAAATGGCAATTAGAAAAGATGAAGGCAGGGTGCATGATGATGCCAGCAAGCAAAGATGAGCTTCGGGGACAGGATGGACAGACAACCGACCTTCTACACCACACGCCATCATTCAGTTATTACATGCTAGAGTATAATAGTCCACGTCACAGTGCAGAACTTCCCCAGGGCCACAGGAAGAGAGACACAGCGGAAGTGTTAAGTGCCTTTTATCTAAAATTGTAAATGGTACACCATTAAGTTATCATGAATGGAGGACACTTAAGCGCTGGGAAATATGAAAATAACAGCCTATAAACTCTGCCAGAGGCCTAATGAATTAATTGTCTTTTGGGACTGTGTCCCCCTTAAAAGTCTATTCCCTTACATGTACTGATAAGTAGATGTAAAATTCATGCGTCATTCTAACAATATATTTGCAATTAAAAGTAATTTTGATTGATAAATATCACAGGAATTATTTAATATGATATCCATTTAAGACATCAGTACAACTTTCATAACAAAAGCATTTAGTTTTACTTTCTTTTAAAAACACTCAGGTATTTAGAAAGGGATCTTGGATTAAGCTGAAGAAATGGTGAGGGGGACACTGGAGAGATGGCCAAGTGGTTAAAAGCCCTGGCTGATCTTCCAGAGGACCCAGGTTCAATTCTCAGTACCCATGTGGCCGTTAGCAGTCACCTGTAACTCCAGTCCCAGGAGAACGACCTCTTCTGGCTTCCACGGGAACCACACACACATACGGTGTACAAAACATCCAGACACAACACCCAGGCATTTAAAATAAATAAACGGTGTGGCTGGTTTAGCAAACAGGTGTCACCTCCATCAGTCAGGTGGTTATGACTTCAGGAGGAGACTTGTTGCAATACAAGAATTTTCAAGAATACTAATTAGGGGTGCTAAGTTCCCTTGTCCCTGGTACACTTGAAGTGACTTAGATTTCAGTATTTTCCTAGCTCCTTTGATCACTCGTCCCCCAGGAATGCAAGAATTTTCAGCATAGATGGCTAGCCATATGTAGTTTTTGTCTTTCTGTCTCTCTCCCTCTCCACTACTTTTGTTATAAAAATAGGGTGGTTATAAGACACAACAAGTAGAAACTGGACCCTTTCCACACACTAACCAATGGGGATCACACCCGTGAGCAAGGCAGCCGATTTCACCCGCCACTCAGAGGCCCTGCTTGCACGCCTTTCCAGGCAGAGCGCATGCTGGTGTTGTCTCACCCCACAGAGGGCAAAGCATGTCAGTGACAGGGATGGAAATGACATCTAAAGTCCGGCAAAACCACATCAAATATATTGTCTGCTAAAATCACACAACAGTACAATAGAGAATTCTGAGATGGTAAGAACCCCATTTATAAGTCTTTAATCCCAGCACCCCTGAGGCAGAGGCAGGCAGATCTCTTGAGTTCAAGGCCAGCCTGGTCTATAGAGTGAGTTTCAAGATGGACAGGGCTACACAAAGAAACCCTCTCTGGAGAAACAAAAACAAAAATAAGAACAAACAAAAAGAACCCCATTTATTAGTGAATATTTGTTGAAAGATCAAATTTCTAGCTCTAGGGAGTAAAAAAAGAACTAAAGCCACTGCCTGGGACAGTTAGGCATACCTGGTTATCAAAAAGTTGAAGGGAAGCTGGAGAAATAGCTCAATGTATCTCTGCCCCTGCCCCTTAAGGTCCTTTTGGTACCTTAAAGGGGTAGCTCATGACCGCCTGTACTCCTCCATGGGAATCCAAAGTCTTTGGCCTTGGAGGGCATCAGCATACATACACTTCAGGTGTGGCACCTTTAATCCCAGAGCTAGGGACAGAAAGGCAGGCGATCTCTGTGAGCTCAGGGCTCCAAGCCTGGTACATGTAGTAAGGATCTTTCTGATAGAAGGTTTTACTCTCTAGCCCAGGCTGGCCTTGCCTCTTCCCGCCTTAGCCACCTTGTATAGCTGGAATTGCAGGCAAAAGACACCAGGTTTAGGTTTTAAAAAGAACTCCCGAGGAATGGAGAAAGGAAGGGATATTTTTATCCTATTATGGAAATGTGGAAGATGGGTTTGTGAAAATTACAAACTTATGGTGTTCCCTCGGGCTAGATAACATATTTTCCTTCCATCCTGCAACTTAGGAAGTGGGGAGCTCCTCTGTCTATGTAATTTCCAGCACTGAACAAAAGAGAGGCCAGATAGCATGGGTTCATTTCACAAACAATAGACAAACACAGAGGCAGAATAAAGAGGCTGAGAACTATTTAGTTTTCCAACATGTTATTTATACAATAAGGTCTAAAACTATGCCACCAGAAACTTAGAAAAAAAATCAGAATTATACACTGGGAGTGTCACATAGGGACACAGGTCAAAAAATAATTTCCCCTAAGAATGCTGGCAAGTATCTCCTGAGACGGGTGTTCACTTTTTTTCTAAAGGAAGAGAGAAAGAAAGAAGAAAGAAAGAAAGAAGAAAACTAGAATAAGAAACTGTTCTAGAAATATTTGTATAAGACACAGGGTTTAATGTATGAGGTTTCTGTAATGAGAAAATGAAGCCTGGTATGGTGGAAGCCATCTTTCCTCTCTCAGCACTTGGGAGGCAGAGCCAGGGGGAAATCTCTGTGAATTCAAAGCTAGCCTGGTCTTCACAGAAGTTTCCTGGACACTATGGATACTGGGGGACCTCACCCCTCAAAAGAAAAAAATAAAAGGCCTCTCAGAAACCAGAGGCATGGGACCCCCTGGAGGTGAAGTTAGAGGACAATCAGCTGTGAACTCATGATGTGCGCTAGGAACCAAACCCCGGCCCTCGGTAGGAAGCACCAACTGCAGATCCATCTCTCTGACACCTTAGGCTGTGGTTCAGCAAGTCCTGCAGGTGAGCGTCAAGCACTAAGCACGGATCCATCTCTCTGACACCTTGGCCTGCGGTTCAGCAAGTCCTCCAGGTGAGCGTCACATATCAGAGTCGGGCAGAGAGAACAACTTCACGCTCACTCTTCATCTAGGCTTTCCGGGCACAAAGAACATCTACATCCCCATAGAAACGAATGAGGCACATACCTCCTGCCGTACAAGTGAAACACCGATTACAAGTAAAAAATAAGCATGGTAACCTAGCAATGATCTTAATGGTGGTAGGAGCATCCATCCTCCAGGGGATGGTCTCAAGAGGAAACGTACAATATTTTACCCAAGAAAATAGGCTGTATGTATAATTAGGCTCATGGAAAATTAACAAATTACCTAAAAATAATAATTAACATCCGTCGGTAGAGCATGAGACTCTTAATCTCAGGGTCGTGGGTTCGGGCCCCACGTTGGGCGCCATTCTGTTGTAATAAGAGTGGCAGGGCTGCATCCCCAGCACCCCGGCTGCCTGGCTAGCTTATGCCCGAAATAACAACACACAAACTGTATTCATTTAAACACTGCTTGGCCCATTAGCTTTAGCCCTTACTGGCTAATTCTGATATCCTGATCAACCCATCTCTAATAATCTGTGTAGCTCTGGTCTTACCGGGAAAGATTCAGCATGTCTGACCTGGCAGCTTGCTTCATGGCGTCTGGCCCAAAGAGGGGAAGCATAGCGTCTCTGAGCTCACTTCCTCTTCCTCCCAGCATTCTGTTCTGTTTACTCCTCCCACCTATGTTTTAACCTATGAGGGCCAAGCAGTTTCTTTATTGCTTAACAATGAAATCAACAGATTGATATATGACACTCCCACATCATTTATCCCAGAAGAAGGCATCAGATCCCACATAGATGGTTGTGAGCTTCCATGTGGTTGCTGGGAACTGAACTCAGGACCTCTGGAGAGCAGCCTGTGCTCTTAACCACTGAGCCATTTCTCCAGCCCCGTAACAGAGGTTCTTATGGAGAAATTAACTATGATGCCTCTGATAGAAAACTTCGGAGACTGTTCAGTTATGGAGGCGGCGGTGGGTTGGGGGAGAAGACAGGGCACAGCGCTGGGTCAGAAAGCAAGTGAAACCCAGAAAGAGGGAACCCGCTTGTCCCTCAAGCTCTGTACTGTGTTAGGTGAGTCAGACGTGGCACTGGCGGGCAGAAGCGCTGCTGGGTAGGTGGACTGGCAGCAGAACCTGAACTTCTTTTTAAAAATCATTTTCTTCAACTGATAGTTTTGCCTACAGATGTGTATGCACAGCACATCCAGAGACCACATCAGAAGAGGCGGTCAGACCCCCTGAATTGCCATGGATGGTGGTGAGCCACCACGTGGGTGCTGAGAAATGAAGCCAGGCCCCCTGCATGAGCAACCAGTGCTCCCAACCACTGAGCCACCCTTCCAGCTCCCAGGGTTTTCCTTTTTAAATTAATTATTTGTGTATTGGTGTTTTGTCTGCATGTATGTCTGGGTGCCCTGTGCATGCAGTGTTGGAAGAAGCCAGGAAAGGGTGCTGGTTCCCAGGGACTTGGAGTCACAGACATGTGATAGCAACCACACGGGTGCTGGAATGGATTCTGGGTCCCCCGGAAGAACAGCCAGTGCTCTTGCCTGTTGAGTCTTCTCTCTAGCCTCTCAGGTTTGGTTTTAAGTGGGGCGTTCATTTGGCGAGCCCCAATTCCGATATCTTTGGACCACATCCAAATAGAACTAATGATAGATAATTTCAAATGAGATTTAGCAGTTAATGCAATTGTTTTAATTAAATTTTTTAAACAAATTATATTTAGATAATTTACTTATGCATGCTACAGTGAGCCGCATGTAGAGATCAAGGACAACTTGAGAAGAGTTGGTTCTCTCCTCCCACCATGTGGGTCCCAAGGATCTAACTCCAGCTGTCTGTCCCCTCTGGCACCGTTACCCACTGAACTGCTCTCCCGGCACAGTGACTATGTTTATACACACACACACACAAACACACACATATATATCTGAAATATTTCACTGTCCTAGTTAGGGTTTCTTGATGTGATACAACACTGACCATAGGAACTTGGGGAAGAAAGGGCTTATTTCAGCTTTCAATTTGTATTCTATCATCCGAGGAAGCCAGGGCAGGAACCCGGAGGTCACGTGCCGCTTACTGGCTTGCTCCTTATGGCTTACTCAGCCTGCTTCCTCACAGCCCACAGGACCACCACCCACAGTGAGCTGGACCTTCCCACAGGCCACACTGCTGGGGCATTATCTCAGCAGCGGTTCCCTTTTTCAAGGGACTCTCGCTGGGGTCAAGGTGACACAAAAGTAACCAACACAATCATTGTTCTGCAAACGTGAACCATCACCCCGTACACTTGTGAGATGTATTCGCATTAAGAGTCTGGATGGCCAATTAAAATTCACAGTGAAATACCACTAAGCATTTTAAAAATGCCTATCACTCAACCACGTAAAGACTTATAACAGAAAATGTCACGTTATTATCCTAAGTAGACAACTCTGGGGAGCAGGGGTGAGGGGTGCATCTGTACGTAAGCCTGGCTAAGCTCACTTAGGCGTGAAAGTGAAAGCGGGCTGGTAGGGATGAAAGAGATCGGGGAGTGGGGACACAGGTGTGGGCAACAGGATCGGGGAGAAGACGATCAAAAACGTCACATGTTTGATTGATACACGCTAGTGAAAACTAAGGAAAACATTTGGCTATTTTAAGAATAGAAAGGGAAAATAAACATTTAACTTATATTACTTTATATTAGTGATATCATACTGCTTATGCATGTAATAACCTCTAATGAGCCTTTTATAATGTTCACAGTGTATCTCCCAATTGCTCCTTCCCCCATATCAAAACTACATCATCTAGCCCTGAAGCAGCCCAGGATCACTTTTGTATGCTGTAGGTATGGAGACTGAGATCAGCGAGAGCTTTTAACTTTCATTTCCAGCGCCGGTTGTCATGGCAACCTAAACCTTATAAATACCATGAAAAGGCAGTAAATGTGAATCCTTAAAAATAGCCTTGCCTTGAGAAACACAGGAGAATGGCTGGGCCAAATGACGAAAACATCAAGCGAAAGGCTAACTATTCCAGTCATTAACAAGTCAGCCTTGTGGCACCGAAATGGGTCTGCACACGGTATATATAGCATTTTGGTAATCACTGTTATTAGAGCTAATTGTTACAATTCAGAAGCAGACTCGATTATCTTATGTAATTACATTCTTTCATGGTAGCCAAGAAACAAGCAGCTCGTGCTCGGTCTTCTGGCAGCTTTGACCAGTTAGAAACGCTTAGGTGCCTAACTAGCAAGGTTCATGACCCGGTGCTGACATAGGGCATGCCTTCTCTCTTCCTGTGACACGGTCACCCCCTAAATGTTCACCAGTTAGCATCTCTGGGGCTCCTCCCTAGTGACAGGCTGGCAATCCTGCCCTGCCCGGCTCTGCCTGCCCGGCACCGGCTCTGCTCTCGGAGCTTCTGCAGAGCACAGAGGCCAGTGACGAGGCACGACGGTACCTTTGTAGAAGAGAACCACGATCTTCTGGAAGGCCTTCATGAAGTGGATGTTGTCGTAGCAGTACTCCTGAACCTTCTGCAGCAGGACGAGCTCTGACTGGCCTTGGGAACTGAACACAGCCAGCAGGGGAGCGTATTGCTGGAACAGAGCAGAGGGCAAAAGGTGAGACCTGGAGGCCCGTTTCAGGGTTGTTAGGGTTGTATGCCAGTGGCCCTCACTAGATTATTGTCATTGTACCCACTAAAAAGAGACAAAATGAGGCTCCATTTGGATTCCAGGTGATGGCAGAACCCACTGTGTATGCTGGTGGGCATTGTGGAACTTGGAATCGCATCCTTGAGGATACAGTACAGCACACCTCTGCAGTCAGGACGGTGGGATTCCACTTCCTGAAGTCCCACACAAAGGGTCTCTTGCTGTTGTTCCTACACCCCCCAGTGTCTTTGGTTCTCCGCTGGTCTAGTTAGCCATCGCTTTCTCCCTCATCTCCCTTTCCTAGAAATCCCCATCACTGAGCTGGAACAGATGGTTCAGATCCTCTCCTCTCACCTCACAAACCCCGACGTCATCATCTACGGCCGCCTGGTTCACACTCTGACCCTGACTTCCTAACTGAATTGTACCTGCAAGACCTACGGTTTCCACTCACCTCAATGCATAGGCATGCTGATCTATGCCTGAAACACACAACCGACAATCAATTTACTTCTTTCATTCCAATGTCTATCCATGGTTTACTTAACAAAAGGCTTGGGTATTCGTCCACATGAAATACAGTCAGTAATTAGCTCACGTTTCTCTGTTTCTCTTTAATGTATGACCCTGACAGTTGACTGTGTGGATGCTTGTGATGTTTTTAGTGAGAGTCCACTTTGAGATGTTTAATGTTCTCCTATTTGAAACATTTTAGGCAGTGGCAGATTTGAAAAAAAAATGTAGACAGGCTATGTTTAATTCGGTTCTGAAGAAATACAGTTGGCATATACTTGCTCTTTTGTTTCTCCGTTTGTGATAGGGTCTCTTGTACCCCAGATTGGCCTTGAACCGATTTATCTTCCTGTCTCCACCTTCTGAGTGTTGAAGTTTTAGGAGTGTGGCACCATGCCCAGCTCGATTGCTCATACCCTCCGGGGGCAGAGCAGACCCGCCAGGGATGGCTCTGATTTCAGACTCATCACCTTTAGGTGCTTAAGAGCTTGCTCCGCCACGAGCTCCTCCTTCTTGTTCCATTCCACAGCATTCATGATGCAGGTCCACAGAAGCCCGATCACGGCTGTTTCCGGAAGATCGTTCCTTTTCATCTCCTCTTTGACATAAAGCACCACCTACGTTTCGTGGAGAGAGAGTCAGTGAGCAACAGCAGACCAAATATAAAGCTTAGAAACCGGGGTTATTTCTCTCGAAGGCAAGGTCAGTAAGAGGTGTGGGGCAGGGAGGGAAGGGCTGCGCTCTCAGCGTCTCCGTTCTTGATGCACACCCTCAAATGACAAGATGGAAGAAATCTAGGAAATCTACTTTTACCTTGTAAACTTAGTTCTGGACAAAAGCTGCCAGATGGCATGGACTAAGAGAAAGGCTGGAAGGGTAGGGATGAACCCCACGGGTTCAGGATGAGGGGGCATGTGCGTCTTTCTTTGGGTTTGAAGAAAGCAACAGGTCTGTGAATTTTTATCCCTACTTTTCAAAATTAAATTTCTTGATGTCTTGGGCTTGTATAAATCCATTCTCTACAATGCATTTTGAAATTCCTACTCTTGAGATTCCCATGCCTCACTCAGGGAAAAGTCAACTGGTAAAGAAACTGTAAGGCGCCTCCCTCCTCTCCTTACAGACAGGGAAACTTAGCCTGCTGGTGGTAGTGCACGCTCTTAATTCCAGCACTCAGGATGCAGAGGCAGGCGGATCTTTCTGTGTGAGTTCGAGACCAGCCTGATCTACAGAGCAAGTTCCAGGACAGCCAGAATGGTTACACAGACAAACCCTGTCTCAGAAAACCAAAATCAAGAACAAACCTCAGACAGGGGAACTTGTTTTGTAGGTAAGGATGGCCCTGAACTTCTGTTCCTGCCCCTCTACCCTCTAACTGCTAAGACTGGACACCACACCTGGGTTATGAGGTGCTGGACCCAAGGCTCATGCAAGTCAAGCAAGCATTCTACCAAGCAAGCCACACCCCCAAATTCTGCCTTTTTCTTTGATTCATGACAGTCTAGCAATATTCAGCAGGTTATCTCTCCTTTCAATTATGAATCTTAGCCTCAGTTCTCAGTTCTGAATGCAGGCCTGCCGAACAGTGTTTCATTCATACTCAGACGCCGTGCCTTTTTCTTGACACAGTCAGTTACAGGCAGGGTCCTCAAAGTGACTAAAAGCCATACAGTATCTTTGGTATGCTACCCTGTAACTAACAACACACCCTCTTTCCCTTTCTTTTCCTGTGAGAAGACAACCATTTTTATTATTTCTGCTCTGAACTTCAGAAACAAAAGAGTGGGTTGAATAGCTCTCAAGTGGATGGACCATTGATGGAGGAAGGTCATAGGTTAAAAAAAAATAAAGAAACTGCTTGGCTGGCCCTCATAGGTTAGAACACAGGTGGGTGGAGAAAACAGAACAGAATGCTGGGAGGAAGAGGAAGTGAGCTCAGACTCGACAGCTCTCCACTCGGGGGCAGACGCCTCAGAGAGACACCATGCTCCCCACTCCCGGGAAGATGCACACGATGAAGCTCCGACCCAGGATGGACGTAGGCTAGAATCTTCCCGGTAAGACCGGTGCTACATAGATGATTAGAAATGGGCTAGTCCAGGTGCGAGTGTTAGCCGAGAAGAGGCTAGATAGAAATGGGCCAAGCAGTGCTTAAAAGAATACAGTTTCCGTGTAATTATTTTGGGTAAAGCTAGCCGTGGGGGCGGCCAGGCGCCGGGGATACAGCCCGCCGCTCCTATTACAACAGACCATTCTCGGGCTTAGAGCTGTGTAGGGATAAGTCCCGCCCCTTAAGGGGCGTGTTCGCCTCGGGCTAATGTCTGCCTATAAATTTGGCGAGCAAGCTCCGAGCTCTCGCTTCTGCTTTCCTGGTCTCCGCGGGAACGGTGGTTCTGTAAGTCTATTTCTACATTAAAGCTATATATATATTTTTACACTCTGTCTGCATTCATTTACGCCGTTACATTTTGGCGTCCAACGTCGGGCTATTTTGCCCCCGACTCAAGCGGGTAGCCCGCTAGCTAACACAGCACCCTCCCCGGTGCTGTTTTTCAGTTCGTGACTCCGGCCCCAGTGCCGAGTCCGAGACACACTCGGCGACACAGGCCCATTCTGCCTGCCTTGGCTAAGTTTTGCAGCGGAACCCCACTGCCTGAATTAGCAGAAGCTCAAGTACTTGCGGTTTTGCAACAAAAGCTGCCACAGCGTCAGATTTGGTCTGTTACAAAGTGACTTGGCCGGGCGGTGGTGGCACACGCCTTTAATCCCAGCACTTGGGAGGCAAAGGCAGGCGGATCTCTGTGAGTTCAAGGCCAGCCTGGTCTACAAGAGCTAGTTCTAGGACAGGCTCCAAAAACACAGAGACCACCACTGGCAGGAACCGATCTTTGCAGGTAAAAAAAAATTTTCTTTTATAAATAAAATGTCTGAACACATTACTGTTCAAGAATTTAATGATTTTTTTAATTGTACCATGTGGGAGATTTTACAAGAGGTGTCTATCACCCCACATATATGGATCCTTCTGGGATTCGTAGTTTTCATTGGCACCAAATGGTTTGATAATAGAAATATGATAAAGTCTTTACGAGACGAATCCAGGATTCTTAAGGTAGAGATTGAACGCTTAAAAACAATTGAGAATGATAACAATCTTCTCAAGAATCAGTTTGAAGTTCTCCAGGCTGATAACAATCTTCTCAAGAATCAGGTTGAAGTTCTCCAGACTGATAACAATATTTTCGAGAATCAGTTTGAAGTTCTCCAGGCTGATAACAATCTTCTCAAGAATCAGGTTGAAGTTCTTCAGGCTGATGTTAAGGAGAAATTCATTACTATGGAAGAGGGAACAGCTGATCTGGACCATAAGATTCAGTCCCTTTCTGTAGGAAATGAAACATTAACTGAGAGAATCAAAACTGCTGAATGTGACAATCGGATTTTGTCTAAAGCTTATGACAGATTGACGGAAAGATTGTCAATACAAGAAGGCACGGTTTATGCCATAAAAATTATGTCCAAAGATGAGATGTTATCTCTAACGGACAAACTTCATATTATAGAATCCTCAATGAAGGCTTTGGAACATAATTCTGGACAGGAGATTCAGACATTGCAGAAAGCAATGGTGAATAGAATTGAAAAGATTGAGGAATTTCTAAATTCTGATGAGGAAGAGCAAAGGGTAGAAAGGAAAATTTTAACTACATCTGTGGGTAAGTCTCTCCGGGACAATTTCCACAAAGCTCTACCTACAGCTCTACCTGCCTTTCCAGTAATAACAACAGAGAAGGTGATTGGTTCCAAAAACCCTAGGGTCATCAAGGAGGATACATGGGAGCCTGTGCGTATGAATGATCTCAAGGAAATAAAACAGGCTGTCATGACTTTTGGGATGCAAGCCTCTTTTGTTAAAGAGATGCTAAGATCTTGGGCCACGACAAGCAGAGCAACCCCCTCAGACTGGCTCCAGCTGAGCTCTGCGGTACTCGAGAGTGGACCGCAATTGAAATGGAAATGCTTATTCAGGCAAGAGGCTAGACTCTTAGAACAGCAGGAAAAGGCGAAGGGAATTGACATTTCCCTAGATCAAATTCTAGGTGAAGGGCTCTTTTCCGATCCTCAAGAACAAGCTAATTTGGATGAAAACACACTCTCCATGTGTACTACAGCAGCCTTAAGGGCTTGGGACAGGGTACAAGACCCAGGACAGAGAATGGAATCATTTGTCAGAGTTAAACAGGGTCAGAGAGAACCCTTTAGTGACTTTTTACAAAGATTAACTAAGGCTGTACAAATAGGAATATCTGACCCAGAAGCAAGACGTATAATGATTGAGTCTTTGGCTTATGAAAATGCAAATGTGGAATGCAAAAGGATTTTGGGTCCTTTAAAGCTCAGATCAGCGCCGTTGGAAGAATGGGTCTTGCATACACTCAATGTTGATACATTTGATTATGGCACTGAAGCATGGGTAGAAGAAGCAATTTCCAATGGTAAAAGGAGACACCAGAATACCAAATGTTTTAATTGTGGAAAAATGGGTCATATTAAAAGGAATTGTAGACAACGGATTTTCAGAAATAATAATAATAATAATAATGCATCTTTCAGAAATAATAATAATAATGCATCTTCTAGAAATAACAGAAATAGGAGGACTCAGCCTTCAGGTTTATGTAGAAGATGTGGAAAGGGCAGACATTGGACGAATGAATGCAGGTCTACAAGAGATAGACAAGGCAACCTGATACAGCCGGGAAACGTGAGAGGCGGGGCCTCACAGGCCCCCATGGCAAACATGGTTCAGTCATATCCAGTTTCTACAGAGAACGTGCCTCATCAGGACAATTAGGAAGCCCCATGCCTACTGTTACAAGCAATAATGATCAGAAAGATAAGTTACATGTGTTTTGGCAAACTTCTATAAATGATCAAAGACCTAAACTGAGAGTGTGTGTAAATGGCATTTTTATTACTGGCCTGCTGGACACAGGTGCTGATGTAAGTATCATTACCCCAGAATCTTGGCATCCATATTGGCCTCTT